AAAAAAAAAAAAATATATATATATATATATATATATTTTTTTTTTTCTTTATTAAAAAATTTATTATAATAAAAAAGAAAAAGAAAAAAAAAAACATTTTGCTAAGCAACAAAAAGGTTAAATAGAAAACAGAAGAAGGTATTCTCGTTGCGTTTCTTTCTCTGTCCTTTTTCGCTCCGCTTAAAAACAGAGAACAACCGCCATGGGTTAAGCCGAAGCCTCTCCGACCACCATGGCTCCGCTTCTTCTACGGAGTCTTGCATCTTCTCTCTTCGTCTTTGCCGATAAATCCTTCATCAATTTGTCCAAGAAATACAAACTCCTCGAGATTATTCACACCCTATTAATCTCCTCCTTCCTCTTTTTCCTCCGTTTGCTTCCTTCCTTTTTCTCTTCAATCCACCTGGTTCCCGACGATCGATTCCCTCTAAAATCTTCAAAAGCGTGTGTTACGGTGGCGGCGGAAACGGAAGCGGAGGCGGTGATTTAGGGATTTCTCGAGCCCTAACGCAATTGTTGTCGACTATCAGTCACATTCCAGTCAGTTCTCGCAAGTACGAAGTGGTTCGATCGTTAGCGGAGAAGCTAATCGACGAGAATCACTGGGAAGGGATTGAGGAACTTCGTGAGGTCAATCGTAAGGTTTTTTCCACGGCCTTTAACCGGACAATTGGCCAGATTGAATCTCGGATGCTAGATTTAGGGTTTTTTCAGGACGATGACGACGAAGGCTGTGGCGGCGGGTCCGTGAATGGACCGGCGGAGTTCCGGTTAGGTCAGATTGTGAGGGCGGTTCGGTTTTTGGGAGAGTCGGCTTATAGCCGGCTCGGTAGGGTAAAGGAGGGGGCAAACCAGACCAGAATCTCGGCGGAGAAATTGGCGGCGGAGGCGCTGTGGTTAGCGGAAAAAATGGCGAGTTGCGGTTGTCGGAGTGAGGCTTGTAGGCGGTGGGCTTCGGCGGGTCAATTGGGAAGACTCTCCCTCGCGGTGGAGCTGTGACTGCAGGGTGTCACGGTCATGCTCGTCCAAGTTGTGTTACCCATGCCGCATGCCCATACAAGCCAAACCATTGTCATGTCTTTTCATTTTAGTATTTTGGCATATAATGTAATATAGGGGATATGACTAGTTGTCAACCTCTCCCTACCCAAAGTTATATATGTTAAGCGGTTGTTATCTCTCTCTTGCTTGTTTATATAACGTCCTCTTTCAAAAATCTCTCTCTATCCTCGTTTTCTAAAACTTTCTTTTAAAACTGAGGCTAGAGGCTCGATCATACGTCGTTTGGCCATAGGCGACGCAAGAACAAATTGGCTTAGCTCACTTGTCGTTGGAAAATGAGTACCGCACAATCGATAGTCAAGCCTTCAAAAGTACGATTGTGTCACATGACTCATTAGTTAAACTCGCACATATGTTCATGGGATTCTCTGAAATTCTCTCCAATTTTCACAGAATTTTTGATATCTAACCACGAAAACTTACGATTTCATGAGTAGCATTCATTCATGTTCAAGCAATGCCGAGAAATGGGAAAGGAAGAAGAAGCAGAGAGTGAGAGACGGCGGCGGCAGATGGAAACCAAGCTGAAGATGCTGAATTCATGGCTTGCATTGCTATGCAGAGGCATCAACGGGACTGATGCGCCCATTCTAAGCACCGGGGAACGCCGAGAGGTGGAGTCGGTGTTGGAGGAGATGATAGCCACACTGCAACAAAACGATCAAGAACAAGTCTTGGCTCTGTGGCTCCTCCATTTCACTTACTCCTCCTCCTCCGACAGGCCCGACCTCCATGCCTCCTATACTCGCTGGTACACCACCTCTCGTAAGCTCTTCGTCCACCGACATCACTAATCTAACCTTCCCGTTAGTACTTCTTAAGCTCAACTGGTTAAGACATATATCGAAAAATAATTATTCTTTTTCAAGTTGATTGAAATTATGGAAATGTTTTCCGACAAAGATGGAAACTTTTGTGAATTGTTATTCGACAAACAAGTTAACTATTACACTAAATTAATTCAAGTACTCTTGAATTTTATACTTAGCTACATAATTGCTTCGACATCAATCATTCTTGGAATTGCTCTCTTAACCATGGCAGGCTCTGCAATACACACAATATAAATGCAAACGAAAGCAACCTTAATTACATAAATATGTACATTATTAATTTGAATATTGACGTTTAATGAAATAATCTGTCGTATTATCAAAGAATTAGATGTGTTATCTTCGTTCTAATCTCTTCAATTTTAGCATCGGTGTTCTATTTAGTCAGGTATAGTGATAATTTAACAAAAATACCAACTATGATACATATGTGATAGGCACACTTAAAAGAAATATTAGAAACTTACTTGATAATTCATGAAATTCTGGGAGCGAAACAAATTTGGGGCATGATTTTGTAGCATCACAATCGATTAGCTGCAATGAATAAACGATTTACGTTCCTCAAATCGTTAATATTGGATGGAAACTAGTAAGTACTCTCCCATTTCCGTTACCCTTTACGGAAAAAACATACAGACATGCTTAACAAACTAAGGTGTTTTTATAGAGACAAAAGTAATATATACCTGGAATTCTTTATCAAAGCATAGACGAAGTTCCTTAATAATCCCTTTTTTACCGCATGTAATCTTTGGATTCGCTTTGAAAGCAGACCGAACAGCTCTAAACACATCCTCAATACCATACTTTTTGGTATCTGAAGCTATAATGTCAGCTTCCTCCAAAGCTTCCTGAGATTTTAACAGTCGAAAATCGATAATCGTAGAAGATAAAAGACAACAAGAAAGCTTTTACTGTCCTCGTTCTCACCTCCTATTTCAATCATCAAAATTCTCTATGTATCTTTTTGTGGGGATCGTGGCTGAATTCTTACAATAATTTCTCGTTTGTTTCAGCGAATTACTACCCGAGCTATGCATCGAAAAGAAGGCACACATAAACACCCATTTGAGAGAGGTTTATAAGAGCTTACAGTGACATTGTAGTTAAAGAAAAGGGCGAGAGTTGTGAAGAAGTAATCATATTGGTGGAGGATTACAGGTGATCCACATGTTCCATGCTTCTCTGCACAAAAATAAATTGTATTTTAAATGTGTTTTTTTTTTCTCCCAAAAATATATTTTTGAAAGGAGAAAAAAACATACCATACTGCATCAAAGGTATCATGTCATATGGCCCATCATATAATAACCCGAGAAAAAGAGAGAATTTCGAGATTCAGTCACGGAATTTTCATACTCAACTAAGGAAGAAACAACCGAGAGAGATTGAGACTCGGGAAAGATATACTTTTGACTCCTGAAATTTGACTTAAGTAAATATCTAGCTATCTGAATTTTCAAACTCGACATTTTAATTTTAAGATGGGTTGTCGTGATTGATCGAGTTTGATAACTCATAGCCCTAAATCAAACTTAGTGAACCAAAATTATAGGATTTGAACCTGGTGAGCCCAAAATGATCCTTTTCTGTTACTGCAGCTGCTCACAAGACCACACCGATAGCTTGGCCAGTAGCGCTCAAGATCCTCAAACAAGGAACTAACCTACAAGGTTTAAAGAAATAGTACGGTTCACAGGTTCGTCAATATTTTGGTATAATAAACCCTAATTTTGAGAAAGAGTAAGAGAAAATAACCTCATTTTCGTTAAAGGTTTCATTAGTACAACATGAAGGCCACCCTTTGTCTTGATATTGAGGCCAAAGCCCATCTGCATGCCTCATTTTCAAACACTTTCTTTACTTAGCGGTGAACGGACCATGTTGGGTTAGGTTAAAAAGTAAAAGCTTCTTCTTTTCTTTCACACTTACGGATTGTAAACTCTGCGGGCAATTCAGCTCTAGAGAGCCATGCACAACAAGAACGTCATTAGCTCGATAATAAAAGGTCACGACACGATCGGAAACATTTCAGGTACTACGAGAATATGGATGAAACTCTCACCGGTGGCAGCAACCATTGGTGGGGCAGCACATGCTTACGTTTCTGCAGGAAGAGCCTGGCCATTGAAGAGCCAACACAAAGTAGTCAAATTCCCTCTGCTCCTTGCCGACGGTGAGGCCCTCCACCGCCTGCGGCGGAAGAGTAACAGCAAGAACCATAAACACCACCTGCGCCGCCGCTTTGAACGTGAAAGAAGCCATGTTATTATTATTATTATTCTTTCTCCAAATCCAAGTACTTATACAAGGTTAATGTAATTTTGGTAGTTTTGATGGGTAAAAATGTCATTTTATTTTGTGTTTTCAATAAAGATATTTAGTAAAATAAATAAATAATGAATTTTTTTCCCCTCTACCTTTAATAATTCAAATGTTGTAATAGCATTTATTGGAATGAGTGACCTTTTTATATTTCTATATATACTTCTAAGTAATAATGTCCACTTTTGATTAAATAGCCCACATAGTTATCTTTTATTAACATAAATAGTAACTTTTATTTCTTTTAAATTATAAGGGTGTGTGAAACGAAGCTTTCTTTATAAGGGTATGTAAACCTCCCCGACTCGTAATAGAAAATCCTAAAAGGGAAAACTCAAAAACCTCGAGGGAAAGTCGGGAAGGAAAAGTCCAAAGAGAATAGTATTTGGATGAGTATAACAGACACGTAATGGGGAAGTCTAGAAGGGAAAACCCAAAAACCCGAAGGGGAAGCCAGGAAGAGAAGGCAAAAAAGGACAGTATCGGGAAGAGTACCCATTTCACTGTTTAAATGTGAAAGACTTGTTTAAACCATGAGATTAACGACGATACGTAACAGGTTTTTACAAGATCGCTCTCGTTCGAATATGGTCTTACTTCAGTCATATACTCGTTGTTTATCTTACTCGTTGGTTGAAAAGAACATTTATTTTCTTTTGGAATAGTAAAAGACATAATGGGAATAGTAAAAGACATAATTGAAGACAAGAAAGATAAGTGATAGACATATCTTATATGGAATATGACTTTGAAAAAGAAAAGGTTAAGTTCATAGCATTGAAACTACAAAAAGAAAGGAGAGATCTCTCTCTTTTTCAGTTCAAAGAGTGATAATTAGACATCAAGAAGGATCATCCAATTTGAGCTTCAAAAACAGGTTAAATAAGTTCTTCAGCATCAGCAATCCATGGAATAGCTCCCTCCACCACACCCTGAGGCTCATACGTTGGGAGCTTAATAAACTCGGGGCATGAATTGGCAAGATCACAATCACGTGGCTGCAACAACCAAAAACTATGAACAATTTGATCCAACCCAAAAGCTTATGAGATATGATTCTTATGAACACAAAGAACACCTCAAAGTTCTTGTCAAAGCATATCCAAAGCTCCTTGACAGCCCCCTTTTTAGCACAGCTAATCTTTGGAGTTGAATTGGTAGCATTCTTAACTGCATCCACCACATCTCCTAGTGGATACTTCTCAGTATTGGAAGCTACGAACCCAGCATCGCTCAGCGCTTTCTGGTATAAACAAATTGAAAAAGACACCAAATTTAATACCCATAACGAAAAAGACACCAAATTTAATACCCACAACCAAAACCATAGAAACCACGACTCTCCATAATAATATGATATTGTTCACTTTGAGCATAAACTCTAATAGCTGGCTTTTCAAAAGGCCTTATACTAGCGAAGATGTATTTCGAACAAAGTACACTATAGAACCTCACCTGAGGCCTATGGAGCCCTCGAACAACCTCCCCTTAATCGAGGCTCGACTCCTTCTCTGGAGTTCTAGAACAAAGTATACCACTTGTTCGACACTTGAGTCACTCTTGACTACACCTTCGAGGCTTACAACTTCTTTGTTCGACATGGGAGGATTTTATTGACATAGTTAAGTTAAGGCATGACTCTAATACTATGTTCGTAATCACGACTCTCCACAATTATATGATATTGTCCATTTTGAGCATAAGTTATCGTAGCTTTGCTTTGAACTTCCCCAAAAGATCTCGTACCAATAGAGATGTATTACTTACTGTAACATT